CTGGGTGATAATTATTACTTTATAATACCCCCTCGTATTGAAAGCTGTAGGCTGTAATTTCAGAGAATACTATACTATGATTCCTGGGTCATGCACTACCATTTCATGTGAATATGGACATATTCTGTGATTCCTTCATATTTCTTGAATTAAACCTGGCACTGAAGCAAGATCTATGCAAGCCTTTATTCAGATAAAGTTCAACTATATTCAGAACAGCTTTTCAAAAGTTTCAGAATTCAGAATTCTGGAAAAAGATTATTCATTAAAGACCACAATGGGTTAGAATTTTAAAGATGAAAGAGCCACCACATTAAGCCATTCCTAGCCAAAAACATTTTAGTAAAATAAAATAAAATAGTTATAAAGCATATTAAAAGACAATAGAATTCACCAAATAATTGTAATTGGTGATCCCAAACTGTACCCAGCTCACCCATCCTGAAATTTCCCCTGGCTCATAATAGATTTCAAAATGCTGTCATCCTTACTATATTTAATATTGCTGAAAAATCTTTTTCCAGCTACTACAGCTGTGAGCATTGCAGCACAAGGTGCAACCTAAGGACATTATTTATTTAGAATAATGTAATAAGAAGGCAGAAGTCTCTGCACTTAAAAATAGTTACACCTATTTGGTTTGTTTCTGATGTTTCTCATTCCAATGCAGATCCTTGAAAGTTCCCATTCCTTGTTTTCATTTACTATCAACACTTCTTTTTTCCCCCCTGCTTCCTGTTCTTTAAGCAGTTGCACAAATACAAGAAGAAACATCCTGCTATTACATAATTAAATTTATTTAGGAGCCTTTGATATGGACCTGATCAAAAGTTTCTGAGAAAATTCAGATATAAATCCAGCCTTTCCCAAGCTAGCTCTTTTTAGATGTTTTAGCCCTCCCATCACCTACAGCCAGCAAGGCCAGTCAGGGACCATGCAATTTGTGGTCAGACCTGGAGATATGAAGGAATTTCATTTCAGCCAGAGTTCAACCTACTTGTTTCATTCCTCACATCCTCAACTAACCACAAGGCAGGTACAATCAGTGCTCTGGCATCTTCATATTGATGAGTACTATGGATGTACCTTAGAAAAAAAACTTCACAACTGAAAAGAGCACTTGGAAAAATATTCATGTTTCAGATATTCACAAAACACTGCCTAAACATGCTTTCATCAGTAAGGATGATTAATATATACAACGTGTTCTCATTCTCTCTCTCTCTCTCTCTCTCTCTCTCTCTCTCTATATAT